TTTTCCGCCTCCGTGCTGACAAGAGGGGAGTTCCCTAACCTGTAGGTATGGTGCCGGTTGTTCCTCCCCAGGTGCATCACCTTGCACTTGTCTGTGTTGAAACCCATCCTATTCTCATCCGCCCACCCTTGTAACCTGTCTAGGTCTGATTGAAGCCTGTTGCTTCCTTCTAGTGTGCCCACGTCCCCCCACATCTTAGTGTCATCAACAAATTTGAACAGGTGCTTTTCACCCCCTCGTCCAAGTCGCTGATGAAGATGTTGAACAGCGCGGGCCCGAGGACTGAGCCCTGGGGGACCCCACTGCCCACTTCCTTCCAGGTTGAGAAGGACCCATCCACTACCACCCTCTGGGTGCAGCCCTCCAGCCAGTTGGCGACCCATTTGACTGTGTGGGTGTTGACACCACAGTCCCCCAGTTTCTTAATGAGAACGGGGCGAGAGACAGTGTCGAAAGCCTTCCGGAAGTCCAGGAAGACTCTGTCCACTGCTACCCCTGCATCTAATGATCTGGTGATCTGATCGTAAAAGGCCACCAGGTTGGTCTGACAGGACCTGCCACTGATGAACCCTGCCACTGATTACCAATAGAAATCTGTTGGTATGATGCAGGTAACAAAGTCGCCATCTCTGCCACTTCACGCTGAGAGTGACCAGAGTTTTTGAACCTCAGAGGATATTTTTTTTCCTGTGTTTTCCTTGGGACCCAACTGTGTGCAATGTACCCTGTGTGATATTGCACTTACGGCCGTAAAGGGGGGACAGTTTTGGCTCAGGTGGAACAGGCCTGGAGATTCAGGTGTAGAGTGTCAGCTCCTGAGTCCAGGCATGCACTGATGCACATGAAGTATGTATGAAGCAGTTCTTTCATCTACAGTGTGCAGCTTCATTCTAATCAGCCCGCAGTTCATGTGTGCATTCATTTAAAAAAAAAGAAAGAAAAGAAAAGTGCCTGGAGGTTTCTGTAAGCACTTTTAATTAAATCTAAAACAAAATACAGGAGATGACACCTTTTTCTTCTGCTCTATACCTTGTAAGAGTATATAGTTCCTCCAAAACAACTGGAAGTTGGGGGCAGGGTGTTATTAAGCAGAAATATTTCCTTGTGTGAAAATCCCCCAGACAATGGCTTTTATCCCAAGAGCTTGTGCCCCTTGGTGCTTTGTAGCTAATATTAAGGGTTGACTCTTCTATTTAGCAACTGCAAGAACCCAACTAACGACTGGAGAGTTTCTCTTTATGGTTCCTAGGTAATATCAGTGCTCCATCCTTTTGGTGTATTATTTAGGCATACCAAATTGTGGGGAGGAGTCAAAAAAAGGAAGCCAGGGATTTTTCATTTTTTTGGATTTGAATTTTCAAAGGGGTCTGCAGGAGTCAGCACCGTTGCTGCCTTGCAAAGTCAGTCAGTTGGGTAGCTGCCTTTTTTAGATGCCTTTAAAAATCCCAGTCCTAAAATCGTACTTCCCATGATCAGACACAGCTGTTTGCTTCCATGGAGAAATTTGGGTTCAGTTATATGGTCAGCCCCAGATTTCCTTTGTGATTCTGGTCAAGTCACAACTGCTGAGCACCTCGATTCTAGATCTGTAAAACAGGGACACAGCAGCGTCTGCCCTTGCAAGGATGTCAGGAGGATAAATCTATGGAACAGATACGTTACATTATGGTACTGGGTACTGTGCTATCTCATGGCTCAGGAAAAGGCAGGGAGACTTCTTGCTCTCAAAGGGGCTTTATTGCAATAACTAACACGCGCACAAAGTTGACCGACAACTTCCTGGTGATGTCATCACATCCGCCGTCAGGGAGGGAGTTAACCCTTACTACTCCAGGGACCAGGTGAGCATTGGATGTTGATAGAAAGATTAGAAGCTGCATGCGACTCGCTCCTTGACAAACCATATCAAACAGAGACTTTACTACACCTCCAGCTCTCCCGTGAAATACGAATTTTCATTTCTACCTAGGAGAACTTTTACAATCTCTGCTCTCTCCTATGCCTGACGAAGGGCGTGAGTGCCCGAAAGCTGGCAAATAAATAAAATCATTTGTTCGCAAATATCTAGTGGGTCTAATAAAAGATATCATCTCTTCCATGAGTTCTGATTGCTCTTGAGGAAAAAGTTTTTAAAATATCTATGGTTATAAGGAGAGAGGCGTATTTAGGAGGCTGGGGTACAACATCTAGAAGACTGCTGCTAAGGCCCTTATCTTACGTGAGACGGGAGGACCTGCAAAACTCTGTTGCCTTCATAAGAATTGGCAGCACAGCTTGGACTGGTCTGGTTGATCTGATCTCTCATCCTGCCTCTAAGAATCACCAGTAGCATCATAGTTTCATAGATGTTAAGGTTGGAAGGGACCTATTAGATCATTGAGTCCGACCCCCTGCCCTGGGCAAGAAAGAGTGCTGGGGTCAGATGACCCCAGCCAGGTGTCTGTCCAGTCTCCTATTAAACACCTCCAAGGAAGAGGACAGCACCACCTCCCTTGGGAGCGCAGTCCATATTTTGGCAACCCTCACTGTAAAGAATTTTTTCCTGATGTCCCATCTGAATTTGCTCTCTATTGGTTTGTGTCCATTGTTTCTAGTGAGCCATCATATAGCAAGAAAGTTTTCAAGTGCGTGTTTAAGAATATAATTAAGAAATAAACTACCTTTAACATAGAGAGAGGAAAGGGACTGAGTTTCTTTCTAACCTCATCAGTTAAAGATTGTCTTATGTTGCATAGCAATAAGATTTATTCCCTTCAAAATTTCTTAATATATTCTATATACTCTCACTCTGGATGGTCTTATAATCCATAAAAATGTTGGATCCTTTTTGAATTCTGCTAAGCTTTTGACCTCAACGATATCTTGTGGCAGGAAGTTCCACGGGTTAATTGCTCCTTGCTACACTTTTTATAAGAGTCACATTTTTTGGAGTGTTATCAGGCAGCGGATTGTGTTTGGCTTTTTGTCCTTGGAAATGGCAACAAAAATGTAACAAGAGATTGGTTAAAGAAAAAAAATTCCTTATGTAAATCTATTATGTAAATCACCTTAGCCAAACGCAAGGGGAAGGATTAGGAGTTATAAAACTGTACTTGTTTGTCTAAAATGAACATTAGATTTTTCTTGGGCTGTGTCAATATAGCATCAGGGAATTAGTGCTTAGGATCCTAGCATGTTCCTTCAAAAATATTGCTGAACAAACTTATGTAATAAAATTAACAGTTGGTATTTTAGCTCCGAGAGTGTATGGCTACGATCTCAAATAATGTTATTCTCCATTCATTTACTCTACGTATATAATTCCCGGATCTTTTATGGAGGCGAAGGGTTGTATCAGTTTACCATGTCCATTCCTCATGAGGAGGTGATGTGTTTTAGCAGATAGTAGACGGGGATAGAGGAGATCTCAGTTTTGTTCCTGCCTCTGCCCTTGGCTGGCTGGGTAACCTTGAGAAAGTCAAACTAAGTTCCTGTCCCCTTAGTTTCCCTGTCCATACAATGTGGCTATTGGTAAAGACCTCCAGTGGTACAGCACACTTCTGTCTTCTGACAGTGATATGGAAGAGCTATCATTTCAGTCTTGTAGGGGGAAGTTTGCTTTGGGATCACCAGGTAGGTCCGTTGCCTTAGGAATGCCAGGCTCCTGGTTCAAAGATGCTCTATGATCAATGCAATGATCCTGCTGGACTGAATTCAGGGTCAATGCTGGTCTTCTTGCATGTTGTCTTCTGCTAATTTAGTTCATGCTTTTTAGTCTTAGTAAAGGATAAATGTTAATTCACATATCCTTGGGACTTTTAGAGGCTGAAGTATCATTATGTCTTCAAGGATGGAGAGAACAGACACGGAGCATGTCTGTACCTCCTTTACAGTTTTTTGAGTCCTGCCCAGATCCATGTCCTGCACCGAACCCAGAGAGGAGACAGTGGACCTACCCTTGTGGCACCTGTTTGGAGATCTGCTGCTGACATGTTTCACGGGGCTGCGGGGGCATGTTCAAGGCAGCTTCACTCTCTCATTTCTGAGTTTGGTGTGTATGGAGCAGGGGCAGGCGGATGCTTCTCAGCAGAGCTCTCAAGAGTGCCACAGAAGTGTGATAGTTGCACTCACAACTAGGCAAAGTGACTTGCCTGAGGCCACAGAGCAGGTCAGTAGAGATGGGAATTAGCAGAAATCCTTACTTGGTTCCTTTCTCTGACCATGAGGCTATGCTCTTTAGGATTATTGCAAATGGAAGTGAATGTGTGGTGTACATGGATACTGTAGGAAAGGCTACTTTTAAAACATCAAAGACCGATGACTAGATGACTCCTATGCTCCCTTTACCCATTGGGAAATGTGGATCGTATTTTATGAAGCTGTCCCCAATGAGCAAGGTGGTTAATACAAAATCTGATGTTGCTAGGACAATGAACATAGGTAGTGCAGTGATTCATAGGCTCTATACATAGGATATATTAACAGCTAATGAAATTCAGTGGTGAAGTGCACTTCATGAACAGAGGGTGCAGGTCTGTTACTCCTAGGTACAACACTTCGGTGTGAAGTTTGGCAGCCTGTTCTTCTAGCTCTGATGCCCCTGGTATAATCCCAAATATATCAACCATCATGTCATGACTGTAAGCAGAGGTGCATCAAAGGTTTCCAGAATTGCCATCTCATCCTGTAGTTGCCAAATGGGTGAATGGAAGTTGCTAAATTAATCTATCTCTTGTTGTCTTTCAGGTTAACGGGTTTCCAGCTTCCTGCTCCTATTGTCAGTACAGGGGTTGTGCTGTCTTTATGGCTCGTGAGTGATTATGCTGTAAGTGCCCAAGGCTTCCAGGCAAACTATGAAGGTAGGTCTTCCCTCCTTGGTGGTATTGTCTTTGTTGAGTTGGCCTACACTGCAATGTAACGTACAGTAGCTGTCCCTGAATAACTCCAGATATGGACCCTTTTAATTTGGAGTCGCATTGTTTCTGTTGAGCTGAATTCACTTTCCAGAATCAAAGTCCTGAACAGCTTCAGGCACAGCTAAGTCCTTGATGCCTCTGGGACCAGAAATTAGAGCTGGTTGTATAATGTCAAAACAACAAAACATCTTCCTGAAATGTTTTTTCCATTAGCTCTGCTTGGGATGATAGACTTGGAAAGGAAAGCATAGTCCTGCTTTGGGATTAAAGAAATGTAGAATTCAGCTTTGCAGCCTTAAGGTAATAGGAAGTGCAACTCAATTTTTGGTGAGTGGGACTTGGAAGGAGGAGGTGTTGTGATCACAGTGCTGTGTCCAGAAGTGACACTGAGACGTTCAGAGCTTTGTGATTTATTCAGTAGGTGTATTCTCCCCTCCCCACCCTTGTGCTCCACGTGTGTTCACATACACACACATGCACATGCATGCACAAACACACGCCCAGAGTCAGGGTGTGCATGTGCATACACGTGCACAAACACACACACATACAGAGTCAGGATGTGCACAAGCATGCACGTGCACACACACACACACACACACACGAGTCAGGATGTGTTTTAAGCTGCTGTTGTGCCTTCCTTTTAGATCCTGCAACATGCGGTGTGAAAAGTCCTGTGTTATCCAGTCTCAGATGTGGGGGAAGTGATCCTGCTATGAGCATGTTTGAGCTGCATGGTTTGCTTGTAGTAGAAGAGACAAAACAATAAATTAGCACATTAAAGCATGGTCTTGACTAGGTCCAGAGCATGGTTATAATATGACTTGATCCATCTGGGTGCAAGGAAGACCAAGTTTGAGCCCATCTGTGCAGGAATCAGTAAGTGCCAAAACAGGGTTACAGTAAACTGAAATGTGTTCCTCCTCCTCTTTGCTTTAGAAATAGACTGTACAAAGTATCCTCACAGGGTTGCATGTCTCCCAACAAGTGGATCTCCCATCATGTAGGCAGGGTAGTGTTTTAAGTAGGAAAGTCTGGATGCCACAATCGCAGAAGCATCCGAAATGAAATGCCGCTGAGCTAGGAATAGATCCCAGGTTTGCTGACAGGCAGTACGTGGCCCTGTGTACTAGTCCACAGAGCCTCCATGAGTGACATCTGCATTGGGATTTCCTGTCCTTCTGAACTGGATGGATATCTTAGTGATCTCTGAGGCAACGTGCCAGCTTTTCTGTGGATCCTCCACTTGCATAGGGCAGGAGCATGTTATCCTAGCAGAGAACTGTCAGACAGGATAGAAAAGGGATGTTTTACTTTTTACCATTGCAGTAAAGCTCAAGTGAGCAGATAGGAAGTGGCAGTAGACACCATCCCTCTTGTACCCCTTTCCCCCAACCCATCTTTAAACAGTTTCTGAAGAAGTCGGGGAAAGAACTGCTCAAACTTCTTTTTCCAAGAGATTTTTACAGAATTAGCCCCCATTTTTTCTTACAAGTATTTTACTGTCTTCCAGTTGGCTCTGGCTATTGGAAGTCAGGACCACCTTTTGTGTTGTCATGTCATGGGGAGTTTATAGGACTATATCAATCTGCTTGAGATTTGCACTTCTTTTTCCAGGCTGTTTGAGTTATTGTTCACATTTGAAAACACCGAGTAAGATATTTTGTCACGAGACCCACATTTTTGACTTCTTTGGGGAGCGACTTTTTTGGGGTGGGGAGAAGGCACAAAGTTGTGCAGAACAGCAACATTTTAGCTGCTGTCTCTCAGCTTCTGATACTCCCTTAAGACCAGGTTCTGTAATGCACTCAGACATATTTGCAAATCACAGCTAAGCTTCTTGCAAACGCAGCTTGGGTTCGAAGTTTCTAGCAAGACTGAGAACTGCGTGGGTCATGTTTGGCAGTGGCGCTTGTAGCCAACATTTCCATGCAGCTCTGGCCCTGGAGCTCCTGTCTGAGTGTTTCTGTGAGAATCAGCATGCTGAGAAAGTCAGAAGAATGAGGGTCACCTCCTTGTCCCGCATATGCTTTGAACATTACTCAGGATGGAGAAGTAATGATAGGTTTTTATTTTAAGGTTTAGCTGGCCACTTAAGCGGGATAAAATGTATATCATTTCCATTTTTATAAGGCTATCTTCTACTTGTATGAAGTCTTCTGATACCTTTCTGCCTAGTTGCTGGTTTTATATTAGCTTGATGCAAAGGGTAATTTTTTGTGTAGAGCCTTGATCCAGGCCTGTTCTTTGCTTGCATATATTTTAGATTACCTGAGGGACGTTTGACAAGAGGCAGGAGGGTTTTATTTTTAGGGCAGCTAGCTTTTATAGTTATTGGATTTGCTGGAACTCTGAAAATTCAGGGCGATATGGCATGGCAGGGACATTGGGGTTAATTAAAGCATTTCAGGGCCTTTCATTTTTGGAAGCTCAGATTCAGATCCTAGCTCAGGCTCTAGGAAGAAATGACTTTCAGCGTCTTGCTAGGGGTTTGTTTGTACATGTTGCAAAATTGCTACACAAATTGGTACACTTGGCCATCTCTGCTCATGGGACAGCTGGATAATACAGCACTAGGGTGACTGAGGTGGCTATGAGAGCACGACTTGGAATAATAGATTAAGGCTAAGGAGTGAAGGGAGGATGGTTGCAGGAAAAAGTGAGTGGAAGTGGTAGGGTTGTATGGGGAGAAGAGGGAACTTCGACAGCATTTGTGCAAAACTGAAGTGTTTTTGGTGCATTGGTGAATAGAGACCATAGCTGAACTAATGCCTTTCTCTAGGTACCATTATTTTCACTGTTAAGTCTTTATAAAGTGATTTGTATCAATAGATCTCAAAGTGCTTCATAAAGGAGCTCAGTGTTACTTCCTCTGTTTGACAGGTGGGGAAACTGAGGTGCACAGAGAGGAAATGGCATGTCTCTGGTCAGCAAAACTAAGAATAAAACTCTGGTTCTTGAGACCTAGTCCACTGCTCTAGTCACTGGAAAACAGTGCCCTCCCTGACAGCCTAAGTTTCCAGGTTTCAGTTGGTTAGGGACATATATTTCTAACTGGGATCCATTAAAATGACCTTACCGGGGTCATTTGACCCCAGTGCTCTTCCTGCCATGGCAGGGGGTCGGTCTAGATCCTGCTCAGATCCCTTCCGACCCTAGAAACTATGAAACTATGAAAATAAATGGGAATCGGGGGTTGGGTTCCCTTTGAGGGATTGGAAAATAACGTGCCTGAGGTCACAGAAATTCTGTGGCTGAGCTGGGAATAGGACCAGAGTCTCCTGAGTCCCACTGCTTATGCGCAAGCACAACGCTTGTCTCAGTTGTAGCGCTCGCCTGTGAGCGCTGCATCTTGCCCTGGAACTTCTGCTTCGCCCCTGAACTCCTAGGCATGCCTTCCAGTAGATGTTCAATGTACTTAAAAAATAATGCAGCCACCTGGTTTTCTAGGGCACACTTCACCTTGCTTTCATACTTCATTTAGCATTATTATTGTTGTTGACTCATCATGCAAAATCGCTGCCATTGGGGAACCTTCCTGGGAGTTACCTGTGGGCTTCAGCTTTCAGCCGACATTTCACCGTGCACTCTGCTTGCTAGGAAGTGTGTTGCTTGCCCTGGCTGCTGTTTTGGTTTCTGTATAAATTTCCCATTTTGTGCCTTATGTAAAACTTGGCTCATTACATATTGCAGGCAGGTTGTCTGTCTACCCCAGTGGTCTCAGCACTGCAATCTTTAATTCAGTTGTTTTGAATTCTAGAAACAAATTGTTTATTGTTAATAATAATAATAATAACAACAGTGGTGGAGTTACAGCAAAAATATGACTAGCATTGTAAAGTGAAGTGTGTTTGACTCCACGCTTTCATTTTTAAGAACGGGTCTGGAATAGCATTTTAAATCCATTTTGCAACACACCGAAATGCATGTGCATCTTGCCTTCGTCACTGGATGGGTATATTAACCCTAGTTTGTCATAACAACAATGGTGATCTCCGTAGTGAGAACAGGTGTATGGAACATCTGGAGCATGTTACAGCTGAATTCTCTTCCCCAGATGTTTTCCTATTCCAAAAAAAAAAAGAAAGTAATATCCTGAGTCATCCACTCCCAAGGATTATTTCTATTAGAAGGATGCCTGGTCCGATAATAGAAAATATAAAAACTTGTGGGTTCTATTTTGAGGTTGGAAATGGTGTGTTCGGGACTAGCAGATGAAACCGGTCTGAAATGTACAAACAGCTTTTACAAGCACGTTTCTGACTGTGATCATGAAAGGTCTAAATGAGGGAAAAGACAAAAACAACCCTACTGGGTTCCTTCCGGGCTTCTTCCCTGAAAATACAAGGTTGTTTCCATGACTGGCACAACTCTAAAACACGTCTTCCCCAGACTTGCTTTCCTGGGTTACAACCTGGGCCCTGCCGTGCCCCATGGGGAAGGGCTGGTCTCACAGTATCCCTCCGCCCCACATGTCTTTCTGGAAGCGGCTTGTTAAATTTACCAGAGGTAAATCTGCAACCCTATAATGCAGGGGTGGGCAGTTGTTTTGGGCAGAGGGCCAATTACTGAGTTTTGGCAAGCCATTGAGGGCTGCATGACAGGCAGCCAGGGACAGATAAATATTAATTCTCTAAATTTTTTAGTGGCCCCGTGGGCCAGATAGAATGGCCTGGTGGGCCACAATTAGCCCACTGGCCGCATT